TATAAAATTTTTCATCTTTTATATAATTTAACAGACTTGTCTTGTTATTTCATGAAATACCTAGTTTTTCTCTGAAATAACTTTTACGCTTTTACGGTAAATTATACACTTTTACGGTTAAATTATACACTTTTATGGTAACATATATACTTCCACTTAGTTAAGTACCTAATGAAACATCAATAAATCAACCGTCAATTTTCAACTTAGGTTTGAGCCACTTGTTGTAGTAGAAAAAGGGGAACCAACACGAAGCCATTACTTCTTTAACTCTATGGTTTTCAACTTTTTTTCAGCCAACAAAATATGTTTTTTTGCTGTTAATAACAAGAATAAAATAATTAAAAATTAAAAAAAAAAACAGTTTTTCTTTGAGTGTGCATTAAAAAACAATAAATGAAATATTGTGTGTAACTAAAAAATATCGAGTTTATATACTCTCGACTAATTTTCCAAGCATTATGTTCATTTTAAATAAAGTTTGTAGTTAAAATGTGTTGCAAGAATTTCTTATTAAAGTTTTAAAGAAAACAGATGAAAAGTCGGTGGTTTATTTGGATTTATTATTCTTGTTTGAGAACAACCGACTTTTTATCCGCTTTCTTAAAACTACGCGTAAAAAAAAGAAAAAAATTATTTTCACAGCTAATAAATCAACTACCATAAAATATTATGAAACCCATAAAGGCCTTAGAAAAATTGTTTTTCTTTGTTTTTTTTTATGCCATGAATGGATCGACGGGGAAGTTTTTCTTCTTTTTAATTTCTAAAGATAATATTTTAATACTAACCATCAAATAAAATTTTTTTAACATATTAAAATGTTTTGAGTTATTGTTCTGAAATTCTCAACGTAGTACGAGTAGAAATAAAATTTTAAGAAATATTTATGTAACAGATCTATTTCTTCTTACTTTCCTCTATGCTTCTTGCAGTTATGCGACCTGCAAATGTCGTGAAATTTTTTTTACCGCAATGGTACTATTTTTTGATTAATTTAATAATTTATATTGCTACATTATTATTTTTATATTTTAATACTATATATTTTTGTAATAAATTAAAATGTTTTCCGCAATTATTCCGAGACTTACAATATAGTGGCAGTAGAAATAAAATTATAATAAATATTTATATAAAAATTGTCTCACTCGCTCACGCTGATAACAGTATCGTAAAAATATCGTATCGTATTGTGGTAAATTTATCATATTACCTTAGGGCATGGCATAAAAATCCTTTATTTGGTAAGTTAACCTGTGAGTTGTGTATTCTTTACTAAATGTGTGGTAATAAGAACTATAATTTTGAAAACCAGAATTTGTGGTACACCGTTACCATAAGAACGGAAAAAGCTCCAAAATGCTTGGTTTAAATACTAGACCTGAAAACTTAAAATTTCCATTAGTAGCTAGTAGCCGGTGGACTCTAATGACCTAATAACCACTTTTTCCTAAAAAATTAATAAGTTCTTTTCATTTATGAAACACTTTTTTCAAACTTTTTTTTTGCTTGGATTAAATTTTATTTTTAAAAAAAAAAAATTCAAATTAGAAATAATATTAGAAAAGTTCAACGATAAAAATAATATAAATATGTGACAAAATTTAGTTAAGTTACTTTTAGAAAACGTTATGTAAAAATATTTGGGGCGAAATACATTTAATGTATACATTCAATACCTCCTAGATTGAAGAAAGCCGAAGGACGGAAAACGATGACTCATACAGTTAGGCCCAGATTTGCTGATCACTTCTGACGAAGCTTCTCTTTTTGGTACTT